AGAGAAAAAAAAAACAAAATATATATATATATATATATATATATATATATATATATATATATATATATATATATATATATATATATCGCATAAGTTTGTAGCACTAGATATTCATTGCGTTATTTATGTAACAATACGTACAATATGTTGTTAATATTCTTTTACTTTTATATAATCTCTTAACTTATAATATATAACACAACAACGTGTGTACTGTCAGCAGCTATATTGAATTCTAACATTCCTGGGTATTTCTGATTGGCTATTATTTTGGACGACTGCGCATCCACGGAACTAGATTAGGCGACAGTTTCCCGAAAAGTGGAGGGGATAATGTTGGTACCAAGGAAAATCTCTACACGATATAATTTTAAAATCTGTTTTTTGCAACTGTACTGCTGAACTGGTGCAATAAATTGAAGTGAGGCAAGTGTACGTTTTCTCGCTCTAATCTTTTACATTAGTTCAGTAGTGTGCAGTTACAAAGAACAGATCTTTAAATTATATCGTGTAGAGATTTTCTTTGGTACCATTATCCCCTCCATTTTTCGGGAAACTATCGCCTAACTTCCTGCAGACCTTTAATTGCTATAATAAATTTACTGAGCTTTTTAAAATTGATCATTTTCATATCCTATATAGCACAAATGTCCGAAATACATCCCAAAGACATCCCAGAGATATCACATTGTCTCTGGAATGTCTGGGATGTATTTCAGATATTTGGTGCTTTTGGATATATGAGTATATTTTTCAACGATCTCATTAACAATGATAATTTTGCGACATAGTTCACATTGTAATCATCGATAACGGTAATGCATAAAATTTGCGTGCATAAACTGAGCGAATTTGTTCTTCGCAATAATTCTTAATTTGCATTTTCCTTATGTCATAGGAAATATGTAACTCTTTCCTACGCAGTGATTTTTCCACAAAGTAAGGACTTACTATTTCAATTTAGTCAGTGTCGTGAAAACAACAAATCACTCATTTATAAAAACAGTGAGCATTCGATTATTTCTTATTGTTATATAACAAGCGCGAAAAATAGGATAGTAACAAATAGTAAAATGGTGTCATTGAATTCACTGAAGAGAATTTCGAGATATATAATGCAGCAAGCAAGAATTCTATAAAGAAGTAGGAGAAAAGATCTTTGAACGTGATATAATAGAAAAGAATCTGCTGTATCAGCTTCATTTCCTGTACGTAGAACAGCGTTTTCTATCAATTAAATAACATGAGTTAATTTAATAATATACAGTGTTTTATATATCAATCATTGTGTGTAATTCATAATATGCTTATATCGGTGAAAATTTTACCGTAACGTAAACAATACAAAAGATAGAAATAAAAAAGTGATATTAGAATTAATTAACATTTTTTATAAATATTTTTTATATTTATACAAAAGTTGTGTATTTATGAGAAATTAATTATATCAGTTGTACTAAAATTTTAACAATTGACAGCAACAATTTACTATTAATTTTACTTATTTTATTGTTTTTAATTTAGGAGTATTAAAATTATAAATGTTCCATATATATATATATGAAACAAAGATATTATAAATATCTTTTAAATATAACTGTTTCAGTAACAGAATATTGCATACTGCATATTATTGAGTTACACACAAGTGTAATCAGTACAATGGCAAAAATGGAACAACATTCTACAGAGCTAAAACTCAATGTGCCTTGGGGTCATGTCGTTGCAAAAGCCTATGGCTCATCCACAGGAAAGTTTGTCTTAGTGGTGCATGGTTTGCTGGATAACCTGGGATCGTTCACTAGACTAATAAAGTATTTACCAATGGAACATTATTATGTATGCATAGATTTACCTGGCCATGGACGTTCGTCACACTTTCCATCCTGGATGACTTTGGATTTTTTTAGTTTTATACATGCGATATACTATATCCTAGAAGCTCTACAATGGAAAACATGTATTTACTTAGGTCATAGTCTGGGTGCGCAACTTGGTATAGCTTTTAGCGTTATTCATCCTCATAGAATTGAGAAATTAATTGCTCTCGATGGACTCATCCCAATATTTGCTCAAACAGAAGAAACATTTATGGAGAGTTTTAAAGAACTATTTACATTACCAATAGCAGCTAACAGTAACTCAAAAATAACTTTATACACCAAAGAAGAAATATTATATGCTCTGAAAAATATGAGATTTTCAGTCTTAAGTTCAGATGCTGCAAAAGCTATGTTCGATCGTGCTGTTACAGAAGTAAACGGAAAGTACAAATATAACAGAGATATGCGATTAAAAAGGAAAATACATACATTGTTAGATTTGAAGGGTTTAATCTATATCCTTCGTGCTCTTTCAGTTCCATTGTATCTCTTTATTGGATCTCAAGGTATACAATTATATTTTCGTGAAATGAGTAAAGTAGTGGAATCAATAAATCCTAAAAGCTTGTCTCAATTATCTTATATAGAGGGAAATCATGATTTTCATAATAATTATCCTGAAAGAGTTGCGCCATTTATATGTCAAATATTGTGTGAAAATTCTAGTAAATTGTAAGTAATGATTATTCTTGTAAGTAGCTGGGATACATAAACTATTCAATTGTTTACTTAATAAAGAATCATTAAAGATTCAAATTAAAAGATTATAACTTATGCTGCTATTTTCCTATGGAAGCAGGCATATAAAAAAGTATTCCTTAACAATAATGTGTTGTTATAGTTGTTATATAAAAAATAGTTACACAAGATTTGTTTATATAAAAAGAATAGTATATTATAAAAAATCAAGTTTAATAAAAGATTGTATACAAAATTGTAAAATAGTTTATTTTTTTTTTGTAGATTTTTACAAATGTAATATTGCGATTTTTACCAAACCTTTCATATGATGGACTTTAATTTTTACTTCTTGATTTCTTAAAATAATATCTTGCAAATCGTCCTCAAAAACAACTGCAGTATGATTCATAAAGGAGTCATTGTTTTTTGTGTCATATATATGATCCGGACTAAGCTGAATTTTATACCAACATATTAAGGCATTTGGTAAAGTTTCCATTGCATTACTTATTTTTCCGAAATTTACAATTGCTTCGGTAGTTTCCGTTTCATTGATTTCTGCCAGTATTTGTGGCTCAGACAAGATCTCACACGAGTATAAGCTCGGATGTAAATCGAATATTTGATTGATCTAAAGCAGTATAAAGGAAAATTAGATTTAGCTGATCGAGTTTTACATTAGTGTAAAATTCTAATCGAATCACCTTGTATTTGTTAATGTGTTCTGCGATTGAGTAGTTTGTACTTTTATTTTCTCTATTATTCTGTGTATGTGGACAGTCCTCATTATTTGAACTCTAGAAAAAAATATGTTAATTATGTCGTAATAAATTATAACACTTATAATTGTATTTTTAACCATTCGAAATCTTGTATATATATATATATATATATATATATATATATATATATATATATTTAGATTATATATATCTTATCTAAACATCTTTCATCAAAAATTAGATATTAAAATTGTACTAATGT